TATCTCGACCACTCCTCAACTTTCCCTGATCGGCTGGTGGCAGCGCCAACGCGCCACCCATTTAAGTTTTCCGTTTTCTCGACAAGCATTGGAAGCGCATGGCTGTCATAAAAAATCGGTTAAGGGCTTAGTTAGCCCCAAGGGTCCAAGTACCCAATAATCATATACTTGCCCAAAACCTGTACTATAAATTCCTATTACCCAAAACCCAGGTACCTGCTTATTGTGTACTTGGACCCTCTAGGTAGGGTTAAGGGTTTAATATAGGGGCCTAAATGATTACCAATATTATGGTTCCGTATTCCTTGTATAATTAGAGTACATGGTACCTCAAATGGACCTCGAATTGATATTGGTAATGATTTAGGCCCCTGTGTGAGGCTTGTGGGAATCCCAAATCCCAAAATCCCCATGGTTCAGACCTAAGCCAATAGGGCCAAGAACACCTACCGACCTACGAGGCCCCAACACCCTATCCTCTTACATGGCTCAAGAGGTGGGATGAAGGTAATTGGGTTAAAGGATCCTTGGTATGTACTCTACTATATTGGGGCTTCTTTCCTATACCCCGCCTTCCTTCATCCCACCTTTTGAGCCCTTTGAATGTGTCCCATCTCCAGCGAATAACTCAACCGCCCACACCCGAATCCGACTTAGGATTTACGGCTTAGGGCTTATCATGCCGTGAACCCTAAATCCTAAACCAAAAATCCTAAACCCTAGACCGTAATAGGGTTTAGGGTTTACGGTAGACCCTAAGCTTCAGGTATCCTAAACCCTACCTGGACCCTGGATGTCCTTCCTTTTGGGGGGGTTATGTCCCATAAATTTGTAGGGTATACCCCAAAAAAAGTAGGACATCGAGGGTCGAGGTAGACCCTTGACCCCTAAATGGGGGTTTCCTAATATTAGGGGTACCGTTTTGGGGGATCCCCATAATAAGGACTGTAGTATATTGGGGTCTATATTGGGGTCCCCTTATTTTGGGTAACTACCAAATCCTAAACCCTAGACCCTAAACCCTAAATCCTAGACCCTAAACTTCAGGTTTAGCGTTGAGAGTCCTAAGCCAAGACATGCAAGGCATTTGTTGGGATTTTCTCGACAAGTGCGGTGTTCCGACTTACGGCGCTGACTCCTGGGCTTACTTTGTTAGGCTTACACTCCCCCCAAACTAACATGGAAACCCATATAGTACCCTTTTAGAAGGACTGTAGTCTTTATGGGGCCCTTTTTGGGTTTCCATGTTAGTTTCCGGGCGTGCATATTTGTCGTACTTTTTCCCTAGGGTTTAAGATTTGGGGTTTAGGGTTTAGGGATTGGATTCGCCCAAAGTAGGTCTATTTACAGACGTCAAAGCCCAATGTAGGTATTATCCATTACAGAGTTGGATGCGCAGGGTTTGTCCGTGTGTTTAATTTTTTTTCGAACACAAAGCATAGGGTCATTTTTTGACATTCTGTTTGGGCCTTCAGGGCCTTTACCTCAAAATCCTAAACCCTAAACCTCAAAACCCTAAACCCTAAACCCTCGAAACCCTCAAAACCCTACACCCTACACCCTAAACCTCCAAGCCCTAAGCCCTTCATGCCCTTCATGCCATTACTTTCATCGACTTCGGGGGGAGGGAGCATCCCAGGGTACTGGCAGGGGTCTTTGGTTGATCCCTAAATCTGTACTGGGTTGCTGTTAAGGAGCTTGGTTTAGGGCTGAATTGTCCCACTATAGTGGAGAATCAACTGGAAAAGAACATGAAAAAGAAAATGGAACATGCAATGGAAACTGGTGGAATATAGGGTTTTAAGGAATTTGAATGAAGCTACTATATGGGAGAAACCTTATTACGTATTGATTATATATATATATACCCACTATGGTATCTTATTCTAGTTCCTTAACAGCAACCCAGTCTAGTCCTCCTTGGAACTAAGCTTGGACCTCAGACCCTTTGCCCTTTGAGATTCCCTTATACCTTTAATACAGGTACCAATAGGGGTCCTCCGTGCCACTTAGCAGCAAGTGTTCCCTAGATTATGACATGAACTATATTGCGTGGGGTGTATAGTGCGTGGGATGTAGGATGTATAGTGGACTAAGAGGTGGAGGGTGTACCTCAGCGTTGGCTTTTAGCCAGGATAGCATCAGCTTTCCTTGGGGTCCCCTTGGAGTTCTTTGGACATTGGACTAAATATCAAGTGCCCCCCCCCCCCGCCGGTGCTGTTGCCTGCCCTAACCTACCCTCAACTCTAAATTCTAAACCTGCACTGTGATTCTCGATATCTTCGGCCTTCCTTTAGACGGCAGGTTGGACTATGGGTTTGAACTTAGTGGCTTGGTGTTGTTTGAGATTGAGGGAAGGAATGGTTTCGTAAAACAGAGAGCACCTGTTATCCTTGAGATAGTATTCTTAAGTTTAGTTTCGGGTCCTTACATTACGAAAACTACCTGCCGCAAGGAAAGCAGCACGGGCCTTTCATCGCAAGCTCCTCGCAAACATGCTACGACTTCCTATGTCCTTCTTCGACACGACTCCGCTTGGCCGTGTCCTGAACCGCTTCTCCAAAGACATCTACATTATTGATGAGGTGGGCAGTTCTCAAATGTGGGATCCCTGCTAATTGCTTTCCACAGTTACACCACCGCTTTGCAAACCCTTAGCCCGAGACACGGTTTAAGGGATCGCGTTGTATAGGGTTTAGGAAGTAGGGTTTAGGACTTAGGGGCTTTGAGGAGGATCAAGGTTGTCCAGGAGATATGTAGGGGTTATATGGTGTTCTGTAGGTTTCATAAAAAGATAGAGGGTTGCATAGGGATAACGGGAAGCTACTATTGAGGGTTTAGGCGGTCGGGGGTATATGTCTTTATACCGATGACAATGCATTGAAGCGTTCAGGTAGGCCGAATTCACACATTAGATGGCTAGATGAACTTTACCCTGTGGTTTCCATAGACCTTTTCGCATAAAGAAAAACTGGACTAGATTTCTTTGGCTTAGAGAACGCAGCAACTGGGTACCTGCAAATGCCTCGTAAGTCAAATTATTTGGGGCGCCAGGGCATACGGCAAGCGCAATTACTCAAAATGGGTTTTGGGTTTCGGGTTCAGCTTCCCAAAAGATGGAGAATGATATGCAAACTGGGTTTATATCGGGGTGTATCGGGAATTTGGTAACCCGATCACCCCAATCATTATGACCATCACATGGCTACAACCAACGAACGCTCCCTCATCAAATCCTTAGACTCTCTCCTTGTAAGTCCGTGGCTTGCAGCTTGGGGCTTAGTAGGATTTAGTAGAATTTGGTTGTTTGCTACTGGGTTTACCACTAAACCCTAGACCCTTGCCCCTTACGCCCTCAAAGCAGTGGTAAGTGAAAGCAGAGGTAAGCCTTGGACCTGTAAGTGTCGCTTGTGGAACTTGGTCCGCAGCACCACAGACCGGGTTTAGGGTTCAGGCTTCAAACACTACTACTCCAAACCCCCAAAAGCTTGAGTCCTGAACTACTTAGCCTCCGCAGCCTGTACACACCAAACCCTCAACAAATGACGAGAGCCAGCCCCTCCCCAACCCTCAAGTGGGTTTGCTGTGAAGGAAGTTGACTTCAGATACAATTCGAGGAAACCCTTATTATGTACCAGGTAACAATTTGCGGGGCAACTTGATTTAACTTAGGTACCTCAGCAGTAGCCATGTTCCCTCTTTTTTTGGTTATCAAATCTGAACATTAGGGAAAAGGGGTACCCCTATTAGTAAGACTCCCTTAGCATCTAGCCAAGTCAACCGGCCAGGTCTTGACGCAAAACTTGTACGCTTACCTGCAAGTCCTCTCAGTGGTGGTTTGCACAATCATTGTGAGCCATGCCTTCAATTGCGCGTTTTTTTGGGTTTTGGGGAGCCAGCAGGGCTTACCTGGTTTAGGGTTTAGGGTGTAGTAGCTGACAGATTACCAATGACCCCAGCAAAGCGGTTGGAGTGTAGGTTCTTGTTTTCAGGTTCAGGGCTTAGGATTTTCAGCTTTTCGTTCACAATCCCAGCTTCCATCTCAGTTTTCCTGTTTCATTTGTTTCTCAGTCCCAGCTTCCATGTCATTTTCCATGTGTTGTTTCCCTTTGGGTCTCCATGATTCCTTAACCCAAGCCCTAAACACTAAAACCTTAAAACCGGTTCGAGGATAAGGGCGTATTTTGAAACGAAGCAAGGTATGAAGGCCTAACAGTTTAGGGTTTAGGGTTAATCACAGAATGCACGGCGCAATTCTAACATGTATATACAAGTACTACATGTCGAGAAGTAGCTTATAGTTTCGAAACATCTGGGCCTGCTACCTGAACAAGGCCTAAGCCCTAAACCCTGAACCCTACGCCCCTAAAACTCTAAATCTCTAAGCCCAAAACTGCCCTAAACAACACACCCCCAAGATTTACCTAAATCCTACAGATCCTTGAAGGATTTCCGTCGCCACGCCGTGGTTCTTGGTCATCATTTTTCCGCTCCTCTTTCTGTACAGGGCCACTCAGAACTTTTACATCCCGGCCTCCAGACGCCTGGCCATTAGGGTTTACCTAGACCCCAAAAGTATGTAGAAGAACGGCCTTTTGGACTAGTTTTGTTGGTTTTGGGTTATTCGTTTGCCTACTGTGGGGGTCCAGGTAGGGGTGAGTCGTAGGATTTGGGGTTTTGGGGTTAGGTCATGGCTTCCAGCTTCTCGTTCCATTGGCTCTCCGGATTCCCCGTGTGCCACTCAGTAGCATAACTCACCGTCGAAGAAGGCCGATACGGCCGTTTCTTGTGTTATTCTTCGTCTCCAAACCTGCAGAGACGTGTATTACCCTGGCTCAAGCAAATTAACGTAAGTCAGCAAGTAAACGCATCAAAACGTATCAACATGCTGTACTCCGATTCTAACCAACTGCAGGCAGTGCCCTAACACTAGCGAGTTTTGCAATCTCGACTTACTTCATGTGTAGTATTAGGAAGTAAGTTCGCCTCATATTGCATTCAACTCTAACAGTGACCATATTCCTTGATATCTTCAACATCTCAGGCCGATATAGCGCATAGACTCCAATTATAAATACGACGACAAATACGACTACTACTACTACTACTACTACCACTACTACCACTACCACTACCACTACTACTACTACTACTACTATTACTACTACTACTACTACTACTATTACTACTCCTACTACTACTACTACTATTACT